GGCCTGGTCATATTTAAATGTATTTAAATAATTCCGATAACTTACGCTTGAATTGACATCGATATGAAAATAGATTGAATGCATACTAATAATTACGAGGCCCTGTATTTTCAAACTACGACCCGTAGTACTATTTGTCCACTGGTCAACACATAGAATATTTATTTATAATTACTAATTAATTCTCATATATAGATATTAAGACATAATTGCCTTAAATTTTAGTCCGAAATATTATTTAGAAAAAATAATTATTTGACTTCTTCGGAAATCTATAGTTTTGCAAGATATGTACAGTATATAAATTGTAATTTATATTGCATTACAAGTTTATAACTGCCTTTTAGAACACTTATTCATATTTTTAAACCAGATTACGGAGTTAATATTTTTGGGTAAACATAAACATTAATAATCTGTGGATCTAATTACTATTTAAATATTATCAAAATTATTTTCATTGATATTTTACATAAAATATGCTGTCTTAATTGCATTTTAAATTCCTTGAGTTCCCATTATCAAGGCGAGACTTTCGCCGGGAGACAGGAGCTAGACCTCAATTCCTGGAGACTCCTGCCATTCCGGGAGCTTCTGGGAACACTATCCAATGCATAGACAATCTGTTTTTTGTTATAAATATTGTTGTTTTGTCAGCCCTTCAGTACTGTTAGTGATATGTTTATGACTCATAAATTATGAGAATATTATTTGTTTGATTACATTGTAATCCTAGATCTCGTCTCAAATCCTAACGACTGGATAAAAGTGACGCAAAGAAAGCCGACTCTCTATTAAAAGAAACTTTTCTTTTGCCTTCTTTTTGGTTCATTTCCATCAAAATAAATGATTGTCTCAAACATTGCCTCTATTTATATGTATGTCTCGACTTTGAGATACTTTTTGGCGAATACTGTTGTCTTCTTTTTATGTGTACAATATTTTGAATGAATCCGAAGAATCGATTCCTCCTTAAGATCAGCCATTCATTCATATATTCAACAAAAAAGTGTATTGTGTTTAAAAAATTGCAATTTCTTGCAAATGACTCATAACTGCATTCTTTTACATTACTTTTGATGATCTCTTTGAAAGGCGAGAGAGAGAGAGAGAGAGAGAGAGAGAGAGAGANGATTGTCATGTTTTACAGTAATTATTGAACAGAATTTGCAATGAATCTGTGCTATGAATTCAAGTGCCAATTATGTCAATACATTGTATTATTAAATACAAGGTATGTCTCATTGAATACAAATTACTGTAATAATCAATGCCTTTATTTCAAGCCATAAACTAATACAATAGCGAATGATTGGATGATTAGTAAATAAGTATAAATAAGTTTACGTCACATCCAATACACGATTCCTGTCGCTACTGATAACGAGTACAAAGTTTTCTCACTCGAAGTCTGTGTTTGCATTTGAGAGTGGATTTAGAGGAGAGAAGGAAAGGGAGAGAAAGAGTGAGAAAGAAAGAGACGGAGAGGGAGAGCGAGAAAAGCACTCGACAACTGTTGTTCATCTCATATACAATCGTTTAAATTATAAACATTTTGGCGTTTAATAAAAGTGAAAACTACTTTACATGCGATTAATTAATTATAAGTTGTTTTGCGTATTGTTTTGTGAATAACTTTGTCTCAATAAATAACATATTCTTGTAATAATGATTGCAAACAGAGATGTACTGAATCTTCATATTCTGATCACCGCTTTTATAGTTCTAGTAAATCAACAGATTTTGTTCAGTGAGTATTCAATCAATAATCATTGTTTTAATAATCATTTTTGGTTGTTTTCTAGCGTAAAGCACTTCATATGTATTATATAATTAATTATATAATAATTTAATCACAGAATCTACAAATGTTTAGCAAATTATAAATATTGTTATATAAGCTTATATTTGTTACTTATTTATTCGTAACAACACATAAGTATTGTGTTTGTGTGACACTTAACTGATAGTGAAATTTAATTCACAATAAAGTGGATTAAAAACAATATAAAAATCATTTTACATGAAATGAAATAATATTTTATAGCATAAGAATCGTTAAATACAACCATAATATCGTTTGCACATAATTTTTAGCTTCAAACAAATAATTTTATTGCCAACTATTGAGATGTTGTTTCCATTAATGGATGTTATGCTTGATATTAAGGATACAGTAATATTAGTAGCGAAGTAGCAATTATATAACGTTAGATTCAGTTATATAAGGGTTTGAGACATTATTTGTCAGAAATAACATCAAAAGTATAAATTCAAAGAAAGAGAGTTGCAGTCAATTCAATTCGTTACTAAACAAATAACAAAATAATGAGTTGACATATAATTTAGTGATTCTTGTCCTAACATTGGATACTATTTAAGGTTTTGTTAATCGTGTTGTGACAGCGCTGTCGACACTAACTTAATCATAATTGAGTTAAAAGTACATAAAATTTATCTATAATTTATGACTAAACCATTATTAATGTACATTTATTACAAGACAATTAGATTAAATAAATTAGTATTATTAGTCGAAAGCAATGTTTTAAAGTTTAATAACTTAATGAAATTTAAACGAAAAACTTTTATTAGTTTTATTTAAAACAATAAATATTGAATGCTATTTATAAATAATGAATGACTTGATTTGTTGAGACTTAGTGCTGTGTCTTGAAAGCTAAAAATGCATAATAATTAAACAATTGAAGATACAAGAGATGAACTACTGAATACTATTGATAGTTAATACAGTATTGTATGTGTTTGAGATATGCATCATAATCAGTAGTGACATACACTTTTTATTTGATTTTTATATTTAAACACAATATCTAAGGCATTAAGATTAATTATTAATTTTTGTACTAAAATATTCTTCTTTGAAATTGATACACGAATGCAATAAATTATACATTTAATTATACAATTCCTTTTAAATGTAATGTTAGTTTATTAACGTTTAACTACAGTAAACAGTATGCAATTAATTGAATTTTAATATTTTTTGTCATTTAATCGATTAATATTTCAATGAAATGAAATAAATGATTAAATTTATTGTTAATTTCGATACAGAATATAATATCAAATGATATTATTTCATCTAATTGTTCAAAACAACGAAATCACATTACAATTGAATGTAATGTTTAGGAAAACTTTAATTTACAGTACATTGTATTTAAGTAGTATTAAAGTATATTAGTATAAGAATTGATATTAGATTTGAATAAAATGACATAATATATCCCTTATTTCCGATTGTCATATACTAAATATGTATTAGATATGAAATACAAATAATTAATAGTATTTGTTTAATTTATTTGTCAGAATTCATAAACAGGAAACACTTAATAATGTTTATTAACCAATTTTGAAGTAAACGTCAAATTTATCTTTTAAAAGAGTATTGATATTAATTTCTGATACTTTTAATTCAATGTTTTCTATCTTTGATTTGACATTCATATTAATTATTTAAATTAATGATTTTATTCATTTAATGGATATTAAAATCAAGAATTGATTTTGTAACTAAACATTATACATTACATCTATGATATGTATGACATTCTTACAGATTTGATATTTATTTTAATGAATTTTATTATAATTTTTTATAAATGTATATATCCTCCAGAATTTAAAAAACTATTAATCGATTGATAATATGCTAGAGTTGTGATACAATAATTATTATATATAATTTGAATTTAATATTAATTTACAATATATTGATAAAACTATGTTGCAAAATGAAAAACTAAACAATAATCCATAGTTATAAAAATACATTATAAAACATTCAAGACTTGATTAGTGAACATGTTTTAGCATTGAATTTCTAGATTAGGAATCAAATAAATTATAATTCATTGAATGACAAACTGATAGTGCAGTCGATAGGTATTGACAAATTCAGTACATGTGTTATATACCGATATCTGATGAGACGGCACTTCTAGTAAAAACGCAAAATACAATAAAATTTAAATAACAATTGAAATGTGAAATCGCAAACTCATTGCTGACATTTCACAATCATTTCTAATTTATACCACAAAAAATCCAATTCAGGTTCCGCTCAACAAAACTCGCCGATCGATAACTCGAGTCCCGAACAGTCTGTGACCACAAAACTCATGCATTTGGGTCCGGAGGGCAAGAGTATGGGCTTCTCGGAGGCCATCGACATTCGGCAGCCGTTGACAAACGCCACATCCATCTCATGCTATGAATGCAACTCTTATGTCGATCCCGACTGTAAAGACAAACCGCAGAAGTTTGAGAAAAACTGCACAAATTCTTTCAAAGGGTCCGCTTATATCGGGTGCAGAAAAATAGACCAATGGGTCGACTATAACGGAGGCGATGGTCAGTCCATACACATTGAATACTAGTGATGGTAATGATGTGTTTCTAAATGCAATTGGTTTGTCTGATAGGTCTCGAGAAGCATCACCGGGTGATCCGTCAGTGCGCGGCCGACGGAGACATTTCCAAACCGTGCTATTATAGGGCCGGATATGGGGGTCGTATCAACGCCTGCTTCTGTGATTCAAATCTCTGCAATTCTGGGCACTTATTAAACGCCTTTAACTTTCAGTTTCTGTTTGTTATGTCAATTAGCCTTTTCCTAGTCATTAGTTTTTCGTAATTATTTAATTATACACTAAAAATAATATCTGTTATTATTCGGCAATCAATTCATATTTAGCACCAAATCTCTTAATCTCTAAGTTTAGTGAACGGAATAAAAGTTAAATAAAATTAAGTTTTCGATAATATTTGATTGGTTTATATATTTTGTTATGAAATATGTGTTTAACCATTACTATGGCTCACAATTGTAGCATTTGCTGTACTCTAGAGTTTCATCTAAAGATGTTTAATATGGATAATACTATTAGAGTACTAGTATTATAGTATTAGTAATTTATCATTATTATTTAATTACTTCAATACAAATGAGGTTCTCGTGAATCAATAATTAAATTTTACATTTTCACGGAATATCGGTTGAAATAGTTATTTAAATTGTAAGTTAACTGAAAGTTTAAGTAAAACTCTGACACAAAATGCCTGACAGTAAGAAATCAAAGAGCAGTTCCAAAGACGCGTCAAAAGAGAAGAAATCAGAATCAGGTTATCTCTAATCAAACAATTAAAATGTATACTATATTAGGCTCTTTGAAATGCATCCATAGATTCGTCAAAATTGAATGAAAATACGAAACAAGAAAGTAATGAAAAGAAGGAAAAGACTGAAAGTGAAGATCTGAGAGAAAGACTATCACACGAACAATGGCTCAAATACGGGGACTTCACTCTCACTCAAGCGGACAAAGCGGTGATCACAGGGTTGGATGACTGGCTGAATGACACCATCATAAACAGTGCACAGGTTTTGCTGCAGAGACAGTACCCGTCGATGAAGGGCTTGCAAAACGTTTTATTGAATGAAATCCAAGAGTTTGTGGCCGTTGAAGGCGACGACCCGTTTGTGCAGATTGTGAACGACTCGGGAGAGCATTGGATAGTGTTGTCAAATGTGAGATGTCCTCAAAGGAGCAATCAGTGCAAACTCTATGACAGCAATTGTATGACAACTCATAGATATAGCCTAAACACTAAGAATGCAATCCTGAAACTGATGCCATCGAAACCAATCACTCTTGAGGTCCCGTTTTGTTCCCAACAAATGGACGCCAATCAGTGCGGACTCTATTCCATAGCATTCGCTGAGGCCTTGTGTGCGGGCGAAGAGGCGTCCGATATATTGTTCACAAACAACGCATACCTTTTGCGCCGACACTTGTATTCCTGCCTCGAAAAGGGAGAAATGAGTCGATTCCCGACCGGAAGAGACACTCTCGTCGATAAGTGTTACATATGAATTCAATTCCCAACCAATTGTCAACATTTTCCGCAATTTTCTAAATACTTTTGACAATATTTAGTATTCACTCGATTTGACAATAAAAACTATTAATTGAATTGAATTTATTCGCTCTTAAAGTCTATAAACTATTAAATTAATTAATTTCAGTATAAATTAACATAAAATCTAAAAATATATATCTTATAAATTGTATAAATGTCTGATATTGTCTTGAATATTAATTAAACTATTGGTTTCTAAACGCTTATCAATACAATATGTGTTGAATACTGTTATAAGTTATAACAAGAGCTGTCATAAAGTCTAATAAATGAAATAAAAGTCTTGAAATTGTTAAGCATTTCTAGCATTAGTCTAACCGTTGGTTTTGATGTGACAAACATTTGTCTGATTTAACAGTAATCAACACTTTTCTCAATTAAAATGAGATATCATTTGGTTTTAGCCGTAATTGTATTCACAATTCAACTCAAATCCGGTAAACCATAGACTTATATAGCAATCAATGAATACAATTAAACATAACTTTTTATGTCCAGTGAATGGTTTGTCGTGTTATGTCTGTAATTCAGTGACCGATAAGGACTGCACTGACATATCGGCGCCCAATAGTGACCGCTATGTCATGAAGTGTGCGGAGAGAGCGGCCAAACGAATGGCCAATTTTACGGACGCCCTCACAGCCCAACCGACCAACTCTTCGGACACTAACACAAGTATATCAGCGCTCACTATATGTTTGACTCTTTTGGTCATATCTTTGGCTAATTGTCTTTATTTGATGACAGCATTCTTCGCCAGCTGTCAGTTCTGTAAGGCTTACACTTCAACCCCAGAACACAAACAGTGCTCTAAACTTGTATACAAAGGTTAGACATCAATCTGATCCCAATTGGATCCACAATTCAATGAGTTCTTTGTTTGTCAGTCGGAAACTCTTTGGGACACAAAGTGGAGGCAGTGGTGCGAGACTGCGGAGGACTGGTCAGTGAGGGTCGGATCGGTTGCTTTAAAGTGAGACACTCTGACAGTGCTCTTAAGTCGGAGATCTGTCACTGCAATCAACTTAATTGCAACTCAAGTCACCGAAGAGTACATCAAAACCACTTTTGGCTCAATTATCTGCTTTCGGCCGTCATTTCAATCAATTTTATCTTTAATTTCGTCTAACGTTTCGTTCAATTTTTCAAATAATTAATACATTTTCTTTGCGAATGAATTATAAATAAAATTAAACCCGAATTAAAACAAAAAACATTGACTTTATTTTGTCCGCAAAGAGTGCTGTTTATCGAAATATGATTTCTGTGCCGAAGAGGACAACCGTTTGTGTCGTTTTCGGTCAAAAAGCATTTGGTCTTTAAAATTGATGCCATTCTTCTTGTCCTTAGCCTTAATGGACACCAATTGCTGCAAATCTGTGGTCACATCCATTACATTGAAATGAGTTGATTCCGTCTTCAATGTCGACGACTTCTTTGTCTTCCTTCGCTTCTTCGGCACAATTGTCTCGTCGTTTGCGGTTATGTTTCGCTTGGCTTTCGGCGCTTTGCCATCCATTGAGATCTCGTCCAACAGATCCACAGATAGTTTGTCGATCTTCTGCTCGCTCTTCAAACTCTTCTGTTGACAGTATTTATCATTAATTAGTTTTCGTTTATTCTTCTGGAGTTCGCGGTAAGACTTGACGGCATTCTTCCGCTTTTCAAAGTCGGCCACAAATGCCTCTTTCGTCGTCTTCGTGTCCACCTCTTCGGGACCATCGGATCCATCGCTGCTGTCGTCCATAAGTGGGTCCATAAGTGGATCCATTGAAGGGACAAAACAAAGACAATAACGGATACAACTGAAGAAGTGGTTAACAATGCGTTCAAAACAAATAAAAACAGTATTTAAATGTTTCACACGTTTTGCAAAAAGTAGTCAACAATTAATGCCATCTTTTGACTCAATTTTTGTCACTTTTTGTGAATTCAAAAAGTTTTTGACACAAAAAACTTTCACTTCATTTGCGGCACAAGTTTTGCCAATAAGTTGTCAAACATTTGCAAAACATATTTCCAATTCAACTCTCGGTAATCGACTCTTTGTGCCAATGATTAGCGGCTAATGCTATGGGATTTCAACACATGAACGATGACTGCAGTCGTAATGAATAGACGATTGGGTCTAATATATGACAACCCTATGGAAAGCTAACCACACATACAGTCAGCTATCGGTTGAAAGTGTGATTCAAACTGAATGTGAACTGTAATTGAGTGAGAGTTGAGACTTAATGTGAAGCAAAGCATTGCTTTCAAAGTGCAGTCAATTCAACGCTCGCTTTCCGTTCACAACACGTGCTCTCCGTTTGGGACCCAAAAGAGTGACCGAAACGAGCGATCGCTTCAAACCGATGGCAACTCTCCCGCCGGCCAATAGGGGCCGAGACCTCGGCCTCAAGACGTGTCCCTACAATAGCGAGCATCGCGTGAAGTCGAGTCGCTTCCAGCGACACATCGCTGAGTGCGCCAAACAGTACCCAAACCACGGCCTCAAGACGTGTCCATTCAATGCCAGTCATCGCATACACAGCACACTGTTGGTACGTTATATAAACGGTATGGTATATGTTACAATTTTATAATCAAGGTTGGTGATCTGCAAGAAATTAAAGCGATATACAACGCGTACTGTGATAAACGGACTGAGCCCTTGCCGTGGGGGGTGTCGGACAAAGCGAACGATTGGTAGGGGAAGGGGTAGAGCCGTGAAGAAAGGCACATGCGAATGTAATTTTTAAAAATAGCTGCATACGAACAATTGCGAATATAAGGGGGAAGGGTTCTATATTTGTGAAAAAGTACGAACGTACTATGCGACGTCCCCTTATCATGTTATCTGAGAATTGTTTAAATACTTTAATTTAAAGTCCACTGAATCCTTTTATTACTAAATAAACATCCGGTTTATAATATCCTATAAACTTATAGCAAATAAGTTCCAATACAGTTTCGTATTACCCTTAATGTTATTACGGTAATTAAACATTGACAGTTTAATAGTTTATCAAAATTTATGATATTTATAACAGTAAAGTATATTTGGGGTTAAATTTTTTATTTAAAACTTTCAAAATTTATATAATTTACTTTTTGTTTACATAATTCTTGTAAAAAAGTTTTGGATACAAACTAAAATATAATCACATATTTTACAAACTTTTATCAAAAATATTTGGTTAACAAATGTTATAAAATATATTATAAAAAATTATAACAATTTTAATTAATTGTTAAATTAATTTTAACTTTAATTAATTTATATTAATTAGTGTTAGTATTGGTTATGGAAATATTTTCTGACAAACAATTAATATTGTCTTCAAATTTTAGATAAACCACAAGTGGTTTAGGAATCTCCAAAAATTGAGGCAAATTTTTATCATTGAGTCTAATATGGAGTGATTTTCTTAAGACAATTCTGGCCAGACTTTTGAGCCCCAGAGGGGCCCGTGTTTTGCCTTCAATCCAATCCATATATTTGTTATGTTTGTCGTGAAGGCGTGCAGTGTTTGCGTTGAGACGACAATTGAGACGAAGTCCGGCCTCAAAGAGCAGATCGAAGATCTGTATTGACTTCTCACTCATTTGGTCGGGTATTGAGCGAACATTTACTGTGGTTTTAGTCACACAAACGCCGACACCAATCAGTTTCCTCACGACAGACAACAGTTCCCTATCGACCGCCAGCGCCAGCGGTGTTCCCAAAGCGTTATTCAAGCGCTGGTAACCGACGTCTAAGTTTAGGTCACATAAGTTAAGCGAAAGCAAATAATCCAAACACTGGACAGAGAGCTGGCGCTCGGTTTCGCTGGCGTTCAGTTTGATATCGTTATCAATACAGCAAATACAGGAGTGAAGTACTGAACCGATGTCGGAGTCGATGGCATTCACATCGCATCCCCTCTCAATCAACGCCTCTATTATTTGTTTGGCTAAATCAAAGTGTTTGCCAAACGAGGATATAATGTAAACGAAATGATTGAGTAAAGGCATCGGCAAACAGTCACAATCGATGGCCGTCTGGGCGTAACAGTTGCAGAGCATCCGATCGCTCAGACATACACTCGTATCCAAACTTTGAATACATTTGAGCACTTGTTCCGGACATTCAAACACCAGACCCGTGAAGATATTGCACGGATAGAGACCACCATTTCTCAGATATTTGGCCAATAATTTAATTCTTTCGGACATTATTTGCTGATGAGATACCGATTGTATTGAATTGACAATTATTATCTGTTCACTCGATTGTAAGCGTATATAAAATGGCATAAAATGAGCTGAAATATAATGATTGTTATAATTGAGGTCAAAGTTTCTGCGAGTAATGCCTGCAAAAGAGTGACCGATTTTTGTCAGAAACTTGTTCTCAAAGTTCCCAATACTCTACTCCTTCACTACAACTTCATGTTTCCATTCCTATAGACATAGATATGGTATAAATACCATGTTTTGTTGTTTTGAACAAATACTGTATTGATTCAAATGACAATTGAAAAACTTTTATTTGTAATACATTAAATAATATAAAACTTTTTTTTGTGTTTATTTGTACAATATATCCAATTCTAACTATCATTTACTATTATTGGCACTTTAATTCGTATTTACCTTCGAGTCATTATGCAATATAAGTGTTTTATTTTTAGTTTTAAAAGTTTTATTGGATTTTGTCACTTGTAATGTTTAACAACATTTTTATAATAAATAAATTGTTATAACGATTATTCTTAACTTTAAATGTAATGTTAAACTAATGTAATTGTTAATTAAACCACATTAACTGATGAAGTAGTCGTTTAATTAATTAGTTTGACATTAAAATATAATATTTAAACAACAAAACAAATATTTTGAAAATAAAATTACTTTCAATGACTTATTCATCGGCACGTCTTCCTCAGTGAAAACAATTATCAAACAATAGATATAAAGCAATTGAGTATTGATTTAACATTTATATGAATAATTAAAACAATATATTAAACATTTTTATAACAAGTATGAAACCGTAATATACAGTTAATATTCAGTAAACATATTCACTATTTGACAAGAATTTGTTTTTCATATTATTTAACTTCAAAGAAGAGACAAATCCACTGAAATATGCTTTGAAAACATGGATAAAACAAGTCTTCAGCCAATAATTCAATCAATTCAATTGCACTCCAAATACGTTATCAATAAATGTTTTGAGAAAAAGTTAACTATAAAACTAAGCAAATGGATACTAATTGTGATCAACTTATTAGTGATTGGTTTTGCGTGTTATGTGTTTCGCTATCTCTGGAAACAACTCAAAGAATCTGAAGATGAGTTGAAACGACAACGACTTCTCAAGAATACAGAACTACCGATCGATGACTTATTGGCCGCCCTTTTGACCAGAAAAGCGGTTCTCATCACAACTGCTTTGATGGCCATAATTATGGCAATCATCGGACTTATCGGCGCTTTTCGGCTTAATATCTGTTTATTAGCCATTTATGACATATTCTGTGTGATAGCGGCAATAATCCTTGCGCTGGGATTCAGCAATTATACAAAATATCTCGATTATTATATCGCAATCATTTCAGTCACTATATTTGCGGCCATAATTGCCTTCTATCTGTTGAGAGCCATTAATTTGGAGCCGCAATGGATGCGGAATCGCATGAATCTCATTGATTCCTGTGATAGTCTCTAATAATCTGATCGACTCTTAAGCCATTCAATGGTCAAAATGCTTATTATTGCTATCAAATAGTTTTTTTATGTAATCCAATAGACAATTAGAAATTTTATGATTGGTTTTTATTAGACATACGAACAATAGAGACAAACAAAGAATTAGTATTCAAAACAAACGCTGTATTAATTAATGATTACAATGATTTGAAAAACATAATGTATTACTAATATTAGGAATTCAAATACAATGTAGTGTTAAGAGAGGACAATTTAAACATTAATTATTTATTATAATATTACTTAATTATAAATTTTAATCATTTAAATTTAGGATAATGCATTAATTTTAGTTATTTTATATTAGAATTATACTTTAATTGTTATATTAGTTTTAATTATCATTTATAAGAAAAATACATCAAATATTATATAACTTTTGAACTG